CTGTCAGCTAATTAATTGAATGCCACCTTTGTTATTTACAAGGGGATTGGATTGTGATGATAATTTATAGTTCATTTTTTGAGTCAGTGCTTCTTCAGTAATTGATTAGTGCCATTTGAAACAAGTTCAGAGAAGTCGAATGAAATAGTGTGGGCCTGTACTTGGTAGTCCCGTCACTAAATCAAGAAGGTAAGAGAAACACTCTGTAAAATAATTCAGAAACACTTTTGACAAGCCCATGTGCTTTCAGCTGCTCCAAATGCTACTAACGTTAGGTGAAGCAAGGAGAAGCAGCTTGTTCTAGATGTGCTGAAGTCAAGCCATTCCTCAAATATCGAAAGGCGTGTTAGAGCACGCTGCGAGTAACTTTGCAGCTCTCTGTTCTGCAGCTCTCTGTTCTCCATCCACTTCCAATAAGAGGAAGGTACTGGTTTGCCTTCCCACTCCTTACAATTTAAAGCTATACCAGGCGCCTGAGGATTGTTTGACATCACTGATGATTCGTGTGCTGTTCTGCAACTGAGGTAAATTTATTTAAAATGAAGAACTTTTTTAATAGGAGCTTATCAGGGCCAGATGGGAAGCTGTGTGGATGAGTTTCTTCACAGTACTGTTGAGGCACAGTTTAGATTAAAAGCAGTAAGAATAGATGTTTTCATAATAGGAAGGGATATAAGGATTTTTATTTCACTACAACAAGTAACTGTTCAATGCAGAGAGAGGATAGAAAGCCTGACTTATGGAACTTCAGTAAACGTCTGGATAACCAACTACTGGATCTTTCATGTAAAAGGAGTGAGGAAACGGACCTGAACTTTTCACCTGCTCCGGCTACCTCTGATGTGCAGTTAAGTGACATGAATCACTGAAGTGATTATTTTATATATACAGCTACAATACACTATTGCAGCCCCTTTGTACAAGAGGCAGTGGAATACCAACGTGTAAGAGCAGGTGGGTGAAAAGCCTATTACACTTTTTTCAGCTAGCAAGTCAAAGCTGATTATACGAATCTGTCAGTCTCTCCTTGCATATCTCTACATATCCGGATCATACATCTCAAATTATCAGTTAATAACGTCTTCAATATGTCAATGCAGCAAATGTTTCTGGGAATTGTTCTCTTAAAAAGATCCTCAAGTTGGATCATCTCCAGCACTGGAGACATTTATTGAGACACAATTGTGGGCAAAAAGTTGGTGGGAAACAAACTTCTCTAAGGGATGAAGTCTGATGATTGCAGCAGATACTTCAAATGCAGCATGTCTTGAATGAGGGTTCTGATGGGCAATCAGATTATTGTGGCATAACAAATTCTCACACTTTAACTGAGTCATAACTGCTGCTTAGGGCATTCTTCAGTCCATAGAAAATGATAATGCAGACATGAGCACCATTCTAATCTAAATTGTGGATGGAGAAGGTATTCAGGTGTTGAATGTGATGGTTTTTGTGTGTGCAGCCAGACAGCCAAATGAAGAGACTAAAACCTCCTTAAATCTATGCCTGACTTAACTCAGACTGCAGGCTAAACTACTTTGCATTTCTTTACAGTCGATCTGAAGCAGGCATGAGGATAGCTGCCATCACTCAGTTAATGTGCAGTAACCTGTTCCTCCAAATAGATCGAGTGTGAATTAAGAGAAATGATCCTACCACCTAAACTCACAGCATACATTCTGTCAGAGTACTAGTCACTTCCTTTACATTTAGAAGTAGCAAGATAGAAATACACTGTTTTTGAGACCTCTAGTCTGAAGATGCAGATCTACATAGATGGATGCAGAAAATCCATTCTGGCAGAATCTAGACTCTGGCAGCTTGGCTATCTTCACTGAACAGCCTTAGCGGGGCTGGTCATAAGGGAAGCAAAATAGAGAAAACAGAGTAATGTGTTAAGCAAAGAGAATCTTGCAGCAGGAGATTTGACTTTGCAGGAGATTTCAATACAGCTGAATATGAAACACTGCAAGAAATCTTAAGATCTAAATTTGTTTTTTTTTTTTCCTCTCTCTAACAATACTTCTCAAACTAACAGACTATAAATAGATTAAAGGCAGTAGGAATTTGCTTGCTCTTTAAAATTTTATTTTTTTCCAAAAACTTGTAACCAATTTTTGATACTGAACTGACTTCAGAACACTAGCTTTCCACATGTAAAATACTTTTTTTTATTTGCTCCATTGTTCTTAGCGCTGAAAGAGAATTTTTTTGGTTTTTTTTGATAATCATCCTACTTACATTTCTTTAGCTTTATATTTGGAAAAGATTATAGCTTTCATTAAAGAATGCCCTTTGGAGGGGTATTTCTTACTCTGAGTTATGTTTTCACATATGGAATGTTTATGCTAATTGTTTTACATTTAACATTTTTCATACTATAAAAAACTTCTTTTTTTCTCAAATAAGGTGCAACCGGCTTCATTTTGAAATGACATAATTTCTATCCGTAAAATCTTAAATGTTCCTAAATAACTCAGTTTTCATGAAACAGGAGAACACCATTGCTTAGGGCTCCTTATTTTATAACAAACCTATCTACTTTACCTGTTACAAAACAGAAAGCAATGTGAGATAGAAGGGTAAAGAATAGGTCCAGGCAAACTGAAGACCTTCTTACTGTATATTAATATTCACTAGATATTTAATAGTATTGCTACTGAATTTCCAGGTATGCAGCTATCAATGATTGAAGTGGAAAGTGAAAGGTTCATATATTGGTCATTATATATTGGCCATTATACCAGTATATGTAAGTATATTGAAAAATAGACAGAATTATGGTATATATCATAAACTTACAGCCTCCTATTGTAATAGTACTGGCCAATACTACCAAGCATCTGGCTGCAAACTGTAGAGAAAAGATGCACTGTTCAATTTACAATCACCACTCCATGGGACAAACCCATTGCCTAAGATTTCTTTGAAGTCATAATTTTTAGACAAATCCTTTATCCACAACAGTTTTTCATTCACTAATCTCCTAAACTTTATGAAGGAAAGACAGTATTATTATCCCATTGTAAAACACATTAGAGGTTTTAAATGTGCAATTCTATCAGCATCTTGGCTAGCGAGCATCTTGTTCCAGTGTTCTGGAAGGCGGAAGGTGAAGCTACAGCACACAAGGCTGCCTAACTGCTGCTTGCCACTGAGACAGTCTGCACATAACAAGGATCAGCACAACAGCCTTTCTCCCTGGTCTTTCATAGCTACCTCCATGCTGGGCTGGGAGATGCCTAGAGGAATATCAGTCATGCACGTTAGAGCACAAGACAGAGGACTTGCTCTTCATATGCAGCAAGCTACCTCCTCTAGGCACTTACAGGGCGCAGTAATGACATGCGGAGAAACTGGAGCTGGTTCCTTGCACACCTTAGATGTGTGGCTCAGACCTCTGAGCTGGCTTGGGAGCTATATGCGCAACATGCTGTACTTGAACTAATAGCAGAACATAAATCTTGGAAGGGCTTTTTAACTTGGAAGCAGCACTGTGCAAATGTGGCTATGCTGGTTCCAGACTTTTACAGGTAATTAAGTCTTCCTGTGCTGCTTTCTTTTTAGAAACTACTGCTTAGGCCTCTGCTAGATGAAAAATATCCACGTCATGCTTTGTTAGTAGAAGCTTTGTTATATAGATATAAGCTAAATATGTTATACCCACAAGGTGAAACAAGAGCACTGAACAATCACAGGCTAATTTACTTTATGTTAACTCCCCAAAATACTTATCTGTAGTAGAGAGTCTGACACACAATTAGTGCAAAAGCCACCTGTCTTGCTAAATAGTGATCACCATTATTGCTAATATCACTTCAGTTGACCAGGTACTTGTCATGGTGGGATACGGTATTTACAACTATTTATTCATTATAACTCTTCAGCTTCCTACAAATTCAAAATTAACTGCTGAAAAAGGTCCCTTATGCCTGTACAGGAGAACTTGTTCCTTTGGGAGAAAGTGAAAGTGCCACCTGCTCTGCATTTTATGCTAGAAAATGAGGGGATTCAGCTTTCATTAGCATCCCCTGCACATAATACCTATTCAGGGCTTAGAAACTCAAGAAGATCCCATGGTAGCTAAAGAAATACAAATCCTTAAATTAGCAATAAGTTTTAATTATATTTACAGTAAGCAGTACAAATCACTGGTTATTTATATGCACCACTATTCCAGAGTTTCTTTTGGTTCAGCTGTGTCCATCATTGACTGGCTCTTGTTGATATCACTGAAAGATTTTTGTAGTGCAAACATGACTAAATGTATGTTAAAAAGCAAGCAAAGTGACACTGAGCAAGAGAAGTGATTTATGCTCAAATAAGAGAATAAGGGAGCGTGGGAGGGAGAGAAAAGGAAACAGTATGGAACCATGGTATCTAAAACCATGTGACTGATCCATAAAAAAGAAAGAAAGAAAGTATATAAATCTAACTTTCAAAATGATTTTAATATTTCTCCAGAATAACTTGGAAGTTTGTCAACATGATGAACGTTGTGTGAAAGGTGCAGGCTCAAGGTGAAAACCTCTGCTACACGTTTCTGAGGGCAAAATCCTTCTGTCAAAACTATATGTAGCTACAAGTGCAGCCTGCAAAAGATGCAAGAAGATACGTACAAGACAGGAACCTGGAATTACTGAAGGCCACTTGGTTACTCATAAAAAAATTATCTTTGCTCTTGTTAAAGAAAATCTCCATGCTTTCCTTTCTCATCTACATCACTAAAGGTAAAATAATAAATATATATTAAAAAAGTAATTTTATTTCTAAGATCACCAAGTATAGCAAGTTATGTTTTTCTAATTTATACTCAAAGGGCCATTTTCTCTATTCTCTGCAGCCTTAATAGATACTACAGCGTATGAAGAATGCAGGACTAGGTACTAATTACAGAATATCAAAGTACTGCTGTTAGCTTTTTTGTTAACCCAGACTCTTTGTTCTCTGCGGTTACTTGCATCAACTGTATAGACAGACATGGCATGGTTATTCCTTACCAGCTCATTGCTGCCATCCTCATCAAAATCCTCCTCTATCCCATCAGTCATCTCTTCTCCATCCCCATCTGCATCTGGCCCTCCTTCAATTGGCTCTTCTGTAGAGTTATCTGCATTCTCTGATATGCATTCCTCTTGAATCAAATCAGCATTATCTTCCATTTGTTTCTTTTGAGCTTCTGTAAGGAAAACATACTCTATAGAGATTCAGTAACCTTCCCTGCTGGTGGCAAAGAACAGTGGTCTGAGGAAGAAACCTAAGCTTCCCATGAAATAGGTTTATGAAAATTTGTGTGTTAGTATCTACTAGGCAAATATGATCAAAATCCCTATTTGAAATAATTAATACATAAATCAACCATAATGTTAACAGGCTCACCCTTCTCATGCAGTGGATGAAAGCTTGCTTTATCAGGGAATCCAATTTTTTCACTCTCTGGACTTTGATTTGCTGTGAGAATCCAATTTGCATAATCACCATATATTTATTTATCAACAGCCAATGAGGAGTACGTAAATCTCTATGCTCTGAGAAGTTGATGGCTGTTAATTGCCAATGAGTGAACAAGGATTTGCATAAATTTACTGTGAGTATCTCTCAACGACCATACAGATAATCAACAAATCCTTCTAGTGAACTGATCATATTTTTACAGACTAAAGTAACAGTGCTCTCCTCACTTGTATAACGTGCTAAGGTTACTGGAAAATGGCTCCCTCCCGTTACTCAGATACAGGGTTTTCTATAATTTCTGCTATGTGGGGAAAAGGAAGACCATTTCCATTTCCATGGAGGCCCATAGAATCTATTCTGCTTGGCTTACCCGAGATGGCTGCACTGCTGTGATTATGTATTGCAAGACTCCTGGATATCTTGAGGAGTTTCATACAGCAGGCCAAAATCCAGAGGAGGATTGAGAGAGGAAGGACAGAGACTGGCTGGGAGAGCGGTTGGAGGGATCAGCATCTTATTCCTACGTACATAAGGAGTTTAGATGGAAACCTTTGTGTGTTTAGAGTGACTACGGGCTAGAGAACTATCTGTATGTAGCTGCAATATCAGTGTTTTTCTTCACTTTGGAGGTGACAACACCCATTAATGATCAGATCTGTAGAACAAAATCATTTCTTTTTTATTAGATTAATTGCTCTGTAACACTAGCTAACGCATCATCTGTGTTGTTGGACAGTCAATGAATCCGCAAATAGTCTGTGAAGATGTAAATCCACAGCTGTAAATTTTTCAGCTCTATGATTGTATTATTTTTTACTACTTTAAATTATTACCTGCTGCATCTAATATTCAAATCTTCTCACACTTTTCTACTTCATAGTCTTAAGCCAAGATGACATTTATTTTTCCTTCCACTTGCACACATTTATTTTGCAAATTACTTTCATCTCCTCAGTCTTTGTTAGTCTCTAATCCCTCATTTTCAAATTCATTTACTGAAGATACAGTACAATGGGGCTTTTCCCTCTTAGTTGCTTTATTTGATTCAGAAAGATTCTTGGACTTAAAGAAAAAAAAGTCATATAACGGCTTTAGCATTACTCCAGTTGTGCACATCAGTAGCAAATTCAGCCCATGTAACCTCAACATCTATTGGTAACACGTTATACGCAATGCCATGCTAGTTTTAATGAGGGCAGTGACATCACCATGTTTTCCAGCAAAGAGACCTTGGGCTGACATTACCAGTATTATCCTTAGGTGCACGACCCCTTGTTACCATCATGTTATTTGCTTAACTGCACAAGAAAACGAGGGTTGAGTCAGCTATATCTACTACATGCTACCCCACCATCTTCTTCCTCAGCCACTTCTGAGATTAACACAACTGTAGCTGTGACAACTGAATCAACTTTGGTCAAAGCTTTCACAAGAAGGGTCCCTGAAATTATGAATTTAATATATTTTAATGGAAAATTTCGGGGGACACAGCCACTAGGAAATCAGGTCATTGATTTAATTGTCCAAATAAGAATGTAGACTAGTGTCTTCAGTGAAGTCTAGAATACCAGTTGAGCACCTAACTCTTCTGGGCTCTTCTGAGAAGCTAAACTTAAGATCATATCTTTACTCACTGACTTGTAAAGATCTTCATCCCTGATATTACAGGGAGAGTGCTCTCCTATAGCAATCACATTACATCAGAACAACTTGTCCCTGGCTTTCTAATCCAGATTTTTAAAAACAACAGAGCTGTTCCTACAGATTTCATGTGTACAAGACATCATTTTGCTAAGCCTCAATAGTTATATGATAATCCAAGCAAATTCTGCTACCCGAGAGCTTGCAACTAACTATTTATTGAAAAATGATTTTCAGATTCCTCCGTTATTTGTTGCCTGTAGAGTTCTACCTTAAAACTGTAACTTACATTATATAGATTTTCTTGTTTAAAGAATTAACAGAGAAATCTTCTAGTCTTTCTCAACATAAAGTGTGAAATTATCAATCTTTTCTATTTAAGTTCTCTTACCTATATTCATTCTATTGAAATAATCAGTTTGATAAATATAAAAGAAAGAGCATCAGCCAATACTGTAAGGAGAGTTTTAATCCAGCTATAGAACAGTAACTGAAGCATGTACTTAGCTTGTCTAGCTTTTCTGTTCAGCCAGCCACATTCTTCCAGATATCTAACTTTTAAGATTAATAATTAAATACTCTTCTCAAGAATTATGCAAGATTAAAACAAAAGCAAGAGTGCAAGAGGATGACTTGACTTCTGTGTATTTTTCTTAAATAGACACAGATCTTCTTTCTGATCTGAGTCTCAGTAAGACCATACCTTCTGTCAGAGAAAAGTGAGAAAAAATATTGCCAGACAATAGAGAAGGAATAAAACCATCTTATATCTGATGCTGTAAATTAAATAGTTTACCTATTGATGTAGCTTTATTTTATACAAAGTATTTAGCTGAGGAAACAATCATCTGTGGACTCATCACCCAGGCTGCTTAGCCCTCTTCATCAATGTGGGGGACTCAAATGGGGATCCAAATTTACTGGCACCTCTGATGTATTTTTTTTTCTCACACCCCCGAATAAGAAGAAAAGTAAATGAGGGATAGGTTTTGCACCTGATATTTTAAAACATAAACAGTATGAAACCAGATTTTAATCTCCAAGGAAACTGTTCATTGGTCATCTTCAACAGATATAACAGTATGATTCAATACAAATCAATGTTTTCCTCTTTGAAATGAATTCTATTTAAATGAGTTCATTAGAGTCCTTTAGCAAAATTGCAAATTGGGTATCAAAGTACAATGACAGGCAGGTCATTTTGCATAGTAATAGATTCTATATAAAAACTTGCTGAAGTAGTGATGTTTCATCTCAGAGCGTTTCAGTGTCCAAGTGATTCAAGAAGAATTCAACCTTACAATTACATCACCATTGATTATGCCAACTTTTATCTAACTTTCATAAAGTATAAAATAGAATATAATGAATACCTACTGTGTACAGTTCTGCCGAAAAGAAATAATCACATTTTTTACTAATGGCTTACCACAGACTTGGAAAAAGGCACCCTAATTATTTTATGAGCTAAACTTAGAACTATAATAGCTAAGGAATTGGTCCTTGGCTGTCGACTTAGAAAATGATTGTAAATGAATGCTAGGAACTTTTAAAAAGATGTTTCTGTTGAAAAAAATGTTAATTTATTAAAGACAAAATATTTTTCTGGAATGTTATAGTCTGGGCAAGTGTTTGATCAGAGTTGATTTCTCAATGCCAGCATGAAATTTCTGAACTGAGAGAGATATCCCAACAAAGGATTAGCAAATAGGCAGGCATCTAGGAACAGGAGAGATTCATGTTCACATATCTATTTTGCCTATGTCAGGTCCATGAAACTGCTAATTCCCACTAATGTTTTAGATAGTCTTGATGGAGTTCTCTTGATTTGTTCTGTTGGGGCTTTTTGGCTTCCTGTAACTGAGAGCAGTTAGAGAAGGGGCATGAACCTGAGTGCCCAGACACTGGGCTGCTGAGGACTCTGAGGCAGGTCCTCTTTTTCACACACTTCATACAAATACTTAAGAGGTTTTCACAAGGAAGAGGGAGAGGGAAAAGGAGAGGGAGAGGGAACAGTGAGAATTTTTATGAGATAGGACTTGCACTTCCCAGGTAGCTGTCATCAAAAATGGCTCTCCAATACAGAGCTTCTGTACAGAGATGTACCTGTACAGGGAGATTTATAAAGAAGCAGCCAAAGAAATACTGTAGACTGCAGTAAAAAGTTAAATAGTTTTCCATGTATATCAAGGTGAAAATATGACCTTCTAACTCAAAAATAACTGTTCAGTATGGCTTTAAAATGCTGCTAGATGGGATCAATTGATTATCAAAATGATCACTGTATTTATATAAATAAAGATCTTGATAACATTAGAAAGTAATATTGGGTTTTGTCATTCCCAAAACATTTCAAGCTAGAGACAAACTAAGCTAGAGCAATGCTTATTTTACATAGGTGCCACACTTCACGAGTAGCTTAGGTTGGAAGAGACCTCTGGAGGTCTCCAAGTCCATACCCCTGCTCAAAGTAAAGCCAACCTTAAGGCTCAGTCAGGGTCCTCATGGCCTCGTTCAGTCAAGTTTTGAATCTCTCTAAGGACTGAGTAATCACAGCCTCTCTGGGCTCTTGCTACAGTGCTTAACCTCCCCATGGTGATTTTTTTTTTTTTTTTCCCTTATGTTCAACTGGAATTTCCCTTGCTGCAACTAGAGACTATTGCATCTTGCCTGGATAATAATTCCTGATACAGATCATCTAATAATTCTTAATGTAGATTCCTGATACAGATCATCTAATAATCCTTAATGTAGATAGCACAAGTATTCCCACAGCTAACAACTTCCAACTTAATTCTGTTTAGTCAAAATTATTTTAAAGACATTTCGTTGCCAGAACTTCTAGTAGAAAATTGTTCTTTTTTATAACAGGGTTATAGAAAACAACTCTTGAAATGATATTATTGCATCTTCTGTGAAGAATATTATTTTTTTCCTCCTAGTAGTTCTACTTAAGAGTTAATTTACCTTGCTTATGGCCCCACATTATGTAGCAAATTTTCTGGAAGGCTTCCCTTCTCTTTCTGATCTGTCTGCTTGACTGATAACTATCCTCTGGTCTAATTCATGTGACTGCAAATTGTTTTCACCTACCTGCCTCAGCTTTTTGCTGTTTTTCAATCTTTTCCAGTCTCCCTAGCAAGGAGTCAATTTTAGTTTTGATTTGGGTTAATTCCTTCTTGATTGTTTGCAACTCATCTGATTTCACTGTGGAAAGAGAACAAAGATACAAAACATGAAAGAAAATCATATTTGCACTCCATGAATCAACAGAATATGTTCTTTCTCCTTTTCTGTATAGTACAAAGTCTACTTCCTCATTTTTCTCTATTTTTAGAGAATCAGCTTTTAAAATCAACTTTGTTAGTTACAAATACTGAATCCTAGAAAAACATAGGATACTAAGTCTTAGTGACAGGAGTTTATTGAAGGACATTACTCTGTAATAAGCATTTCAGGCATTTTATCTAAAGGGAAATCTTAGTAAATCCAGGCACCTAGTGACAAACAGCCTACAGTGAAAGAATGATTCCAATATGATAGACAGTTCACTGTCTTGTAATGCTATTTTTCTGGACTTTTTTTTTTAATAATAATAGCAATAATAAAAAGATCCCTCATAGCAGTGGTAGGTATTTTTCAACAAGAGAAAATGGTAACATAAATGCTAAAGCAGCCAGGAAGGTAATGTTTTTTTCCAGTCAACTACTTCATTGCGATATAAAGTGTTAAGAATTATCATTTTAAGACCTTTCAATTCTAGGTAAGTACTTGTACTTTTTCCAGCTGTTGATGATATACTAAAATATTTCTTTTCATAATCACATCTAGAGATGGAGCCAGCTCCAGCAAATTAAGACCAGTATATTAAGAAGTTAATAAATGTTTGTTACAGTGGATTACTTTTCATTTATGTTTGCTACTATGTATGGTATAGCATGTTTGCTACTCTTCATTTACATTTCTTATTGCATTCCCAGATGGGACCGGAGGAAGTGCTTATCTAAAGGAAGAAGATCTAACTGCTTTAGAGGTATTTTGACTTCAGAAGAAATAGCACTGCAGCACTTGTGAATGAGCTTGATGGTATGGCATTATCAGGACATTTTTTTAGGCTCAAAAGATAGTCCAAAAAGATCTACTTACTCCATCTGTGCTAGGATGTCATGTTGTAAAGGCCAAGAGGAGAAAATAGGAACCCTGAGCTACCATGGGAGAATAAATTAATTATAATGGTCAAGAGCAGATAACAGAGCTGTCTTTTTACAGTTCTTGTATGGAAAATAGACCCTCACTTTAAACTGTGAAGGACTGGTAAAGGAAGAGCACCGAGAAGTAGTACACCTCGCTTCCTACCTTTGTTGAAGAAGGGTATACATTGCCTTCAGGGGTGCATATCTGGAGCAATGGGAGGGTCATTAGTGGGGCTGGGAAAGGAGAGGTTCTGCCATGGAGAACATCACTTTTCCTTTAGGTACAAAGGCTCTCCTGGCTGCACCTTGTCTTAGCAACCCTATTCAATGACTCTTGGGCATGTATCTCACCATGGCATCTTGTAAGTATATTCATCAGGCAATTAAAATCTAATGATGAATTGTACAGGCAAGCTACCACCTAGTTCACTGGTGATGAGTGTGTGTTTGCTTCCAAATCAACTTTAATGGAAGTTTACAGGACATTCACTAATGTTGAAACTGATGTTTTTTTATCTTACAGTTTGGGTCACGCACATTGTAGTTATAACAGCTCAGCTAAGGCAGGTTGTTACATGTGGTAATGATTTTTAATCATGTGCTCACATTAAGAAACTGCACTTCTCACATTATTATTAGCTGAAACCTCTGATCTCATATGAAATGAACAGTAGGCTTTATACAACTATGGTTAAAAGTGACCTTTGTGCTAGACCCTCATATTGGATAGAATTATTCAGCATATTTATAGACCAAAGTCTTAAAATGTTCTCAGAGAAATAGCAGGTCACTGTCCATTCTTCCAGATCTGTAATGAAATGTTAAGATTCTGACAACTGTATATTTAGAAGGTCACTGCTTCCCTGGGGGCCATGATTTGTCCATGCTAGAGTACAGAAGCAGCACAGATTCCAAAGTGAAATGGTGTGAATCTGTTCAGTGGAGAATGTAAAGTGTCTGCAGCAGCCCCCTGTGAAGCCAGATAGCAACAGATCTCCTACAGTCAAGCCAGTGTATTAGAGGTGCTCTGTTGACTGGCATGTGAGGACCAAAAGATCAAAATTTATAAGGCATACCACAAAGACCTAATGATATTTGTTCCTAGTCTTAAAAAAAAGCAGAATACGTTTGCACTTCTCAGTTTGGCAAGGACACAGGCATGTACTGTTCAACTCAGGCCAAAGCTTCTGCTTCATAGCGCTTTCCCTCTGCTGCGCCATTGAGAAATTAGTTTGGGAAGAAGATTGCACTAAAGGGAAGATGCAATGGTGTAGATTCAACAGCAAATCAAGATGTCAAAAACTACTGAAATGCCATATTGCTACCAATGTTCTCTGCAGGATTCCCCTATGCCAAATTTATTTGCTCAAACTTTGGGCAATAAAGCTACAACTTAACATTAAACAAGGGTATTAAATAGGAGGTTCCAACATGCAGTCCATCACATCAAATTTATACTAGGAAGGACTGAAAGAAAAAAGGGGAAAGATTTTTCAAAGAAATCTGAACAAGTTACAAATTTCCACCCTAGTTTCAAATTTGAGACAGGTTACTTATCTTCTTAATTTGCAGGGCATTGTACAAGTCTTCAAAATCAGTGTCATCAGAGAAATTCCATTCTCAGTTACATTGTACCGAGTATTTCTGTAGCAGGCAGAAGTTACTGAAGACAAATCAGTATAGAAATACAGCAAGAGGGAGACCTTTGAGCTTCTTAGGCACAGTATTAGGACACAGATAAAAATGTGAAGAATGTAAACACTGCACTTCAGACTCACGTGTTAATTTTTTGCTACAAACGTGTCCTGCTTGGAGGGTGTAAATTCTCCATTGCAACTTCACTTATTTTTTTTAAAAAAATAAAGCATTTTATAAACTGAAGACCATAGCTGCATGTGTTTAAAATATTTGTTCAACTGATTTTCAATAATGGAACAAGAAAATAAAGTAGCTTTCTGTTTTTACTTTTAGTGGAAAGGCTATCAGGTGACAGAAATGGATGTACTGAAATAGAAGGAAATTACTAAGGAAATTCCTCAAGGACTGGCACCAGAATTATTAAATATCTTTAACAATATTGATGCAAAAAATAAGTAAAATGGTGAAATTTGCTCATAACACAAAAATTGTAAAGTGTCATCTATCTGGGATGGAACTGGAATAATAGCAGGAGTCTGGTGATTTTAAAGATCTCTACTGTAGTAACAGGAAGAAATTCAATTGTTGATTGACAAATAAATCCTACTCCTATTCTCTGAACATGGAACCTCATGAACTGAAAAGGAAAGTGATGGAATTATCCTTGGGTGCACTTTTATTTCAGATTTGACAATGGCCTATTTACTATAATGCATCCATGAAAAAGAAAATGCAGAAATGTTTCAAGCATAGGCAATACCATTTTGACATAGCTAATTCTAAATTTGAGATTAAGCCCGTATATGATCTTGAATTTCATTAATACCAAAATAGTTTCCTTCCCACAAACTGTGTTTCTCCTTATTAAAGAGAGCCTTCATTTAACTAGCAATAAATTGCAATTCTAATCAACAGTGCATTAGTTCAAGGGGTTCAGATAAGCAGTTTGGAGCAGAGGGGCAGCAAAATATTAAACTGCTTCATCCTACAAATCAATATAGCAAACTTTTCAAGTAAAATGGCAAAAGAAGAAACAGAATATACATTCTCTGCTTTGCATCTTGCAGACCCTAAGGGAATGGTTTGGTTATTTCTCTGATAAATGTCTTACAGTAAGCTGATTACTTTCTTGTCTAAGTCAACAAAATCATATTTCTACCTTTATAATGGGGTTTGAACTTGACAAAAAAGGAAGTAATTCTATGGGGAAATCAAGCATAACAGTTTGCATACTGTGTGCCTGAATCCCCTTAAAGAAAAAAAAAGAATCAATCAATTCATTTTAAGGTGTACTGCATGCAAAAAGAATATTTTCTGATATGTATTCCTGCATGATAAATGGTCTCCGCAGTTGTGTTCCAAATATCATATTAAAGAATTGAGGGTGTAAATCTAACTGAGGTCAAAAATGAGGTCCCATGGTTTTTAGTGATGTAACTTGCAGCTCTCCCAGCATTAACAGCTGAATCAAAAAATTATTCTTGTCACCTGGAGACTGACATTTGAGAATTCACATCACCCCTGAATACATAAGCATTGCCTGTTGAAGGATATTTATGGGAAATAATGCTTGACCAATATGATAGCCTTCTATGACGGAATGACTGGCTGGGTAGATGAGGGCAGAGCAGTGGATGTTGTCTACCTGGACTTCATCAAGGCTTTGGACACTGTCTCCCATCACATCCTCA